CGCCGTCGTAGACTGTGCCGTCCACGTACGTATACGCGCCTCGGCCATGGCGAATGCCCTTGTGCCACTCGCCCTCGTACGCCTCTTGGAGGGAGCTGTCTGGCCGCCACGTATACGTGCCGACGCCGTGAAACTCGTCGTGGACCCAGTCGCCGTCATACCTATCCCCGTTCGCGTAGAGAAAGGTGCCGGTGCCATGACGCGCCCCATCGACCCACTCGCCGTCGTACTTGTGCCCGCTCGAGTACACCATGGTGCCTCGTCCGTTGATGCGGCCGAACGCAAACGCGCCGGTGTAGACGTTGCCGTTGGGCCACGTAAACTCACCAACCCCGTGTTTCTGAGCCTGGACAAAGTCGCCCGTGTACGTGTTGCCGTTGAAATACGTGATGCGACCCTTGCCTTGAATGTGTCCGTCGACAAAGCCGCCTTCATACAGCGTGCCGGACGCCCACGCGTACACGCCGTTGTGGCCGTGGTACTTGTCACAAGCAAACGGGCCCGTGTACACGTCGCCGGTCGCGAAATGGCGGTACACGCCGAGACCGCTCGCGACATTGTCGTGGAACGTGCCGTCAAAGATGTCGCCGTTGGCAAAGATATAGCGCCCGCGGCCGTGCTTGAGGTTGCGGCGCCAACGACCGACGCACTTGTCGCCGGTCGCCGAGACAAAGACACCGGCGCCGTCGCACATGTCGTTGGCCCACATCCCAGAGTAGATGCTGCCGTTGGCGTAAAAGCAGACGCCGCGACCGTCGCGCACATCGCGCACCCAGTGGCCCTGCTCATAACGTCGTTCAAAAAAGGCGGCACCGTGTCAAGTGTACCTTGTAGACTTCACTGTCGGCCGTGAGAATCCCGACGCCGTCTGCATGCCCGTGCACAAACGTACCCCGGTACGCGTTGCCATTCGCCTGCAAACCGATCGTTAAGGGTTGGGAGGCAGATTGAAGAAGAATTTCTACTACCTTGGTGAGCGATCCAAAGCCGTGGTGAACGCCGTGGTCCCATGCGCCAACGTACACGTCTCCGTTCGCACTCGAGTGCACGCCGCGGCCGTGGATCTCACCGGCGTCCCACTCGCCTTCGTACGTCTCGCCGTTTGGAAACGTAAGGAGCCCGACGCCGTGCTTGACGCCGTCGCGCCATTGGCCCTTGTACGTTTTCCCGCACACGCTTTCCCAGAGCCCAAATCCCTACATCGAATTCTACACCGAGACATCGCGTGGAAAGAGTACGTGGCGATAGCCGTTGGCCCATTGACCGCGGTATTGGTCGCCGTTGGCATAGTAGTACTCGCCCCACCCATGGAACGCACCGTCGGCAAAGTCGCCGACGTAGAGGCTGCCGCTCGGATATTGTGCTTTCGCAAACGCAGTTGCAACGCCGTGGAAGGCGCTCAGCCACATGATATGGTCGAACGCCGTCGAGTCGCACGGGCGAATGGCCGTCGTCGCGACGAGGAGCCCCGATGCGTCGACTGTATCGCGGGGCGGCTCCATGGAGGCGGTTTTCGGGCGTGCTGCGGCCGGTTGCACCTAGCTCATATACTTAGAGTAGTACGTGGCAAAGTGTCCATATGCCATCAAGGCGTTGGCTACCGGGGTGTTGTGTCGCTTGAGCGGCACCACGGGTGGCGGAGCGTCGGGCACCGTCAGTGTCGACGCTCGGCGCGTCGCGAGGGGCCAATCGTTGGCGGCAATGATGTCTGGCGTCGTCACGCACACGGCACAGTAGGGACAGATTGGAAACGAGTACCCGACGTTGCGCGCTTGGCAGACGTCGCAGTACCACTTGTGCTCGCTGCGCTTGTGCTCATGGATCTCGTGCATTGTCGCCGCCACGAAGCCGCAATCCGCCCAGTCGCAGGACAAGAACGCATGGTACGGCGATGGCGGCTGCCACTGCGAGTCTTGCGTGTACATTTCAAAGTAGAAAAACTCGCTGGTCCACGGATCACACCACTCTTGCCAGCTCCCGACCGTGCGCACGAGCTTGCTTCGCTCCAGAAGCTGCTTCATGGCCCACGGGCTCTGGAGCACCATGTTTTGCTTTCGCCGCTCCCGCTGCGCCGCCCGGCGTCCCCTAGCACGAACCGAGTCATTCCATTATATAGCATCACGATCGAGCGACGTACAAGAGGCCGCGGGCGACGCGCTGGATCTCGATCGCAGCAAAGTGCCGTCGACGCACTTCGCCGGCCACGAGGCGCCCTTTCCAGCCGCGGTACAGGCTCTGGAGCGACGTCGCCACGTAGTTGCGCATGTTGCTGACTGTCTCTTCGTGCACACGCGCCTGCTGGAGGAGTCGGTCGCGACACTTGTCGATCGCGACGAGTCGCTGCTCGTAGATGCGCCGGAGGATCGCATGCTCGGCGTGCGTACGGATGGCCACGTGCATGTTGAGCTCTGCCGTTTCAAAAGATTGAGAAAGGGCAGCCTCCCGTCCTGTACACCGAGACCGGCGACGCATGCAGGAGATTCCATCGGCGAGTCAAGACAACGACGTGCAAGCCCTCCAGTGAGCCCGAACCGTCGAGTGCTACAGCTCCAGATCGGCTTCGGTCGCATCCTAGGGGGCGAACAAGCCACACGGATCGAACTCGCGTGCGTCAGTGCAAGCGCACGACCGATCCATCACGAGAGCGCGAAAGACAAAGTAGAACGACGAGCGGTTAGTACATCAATCGAAGCAACATCCGACCTCGGATTCTAGAGACGAGGAAGAGGTGTTGGGCGATGATGGGACGAGGGGTAGATCCATTCTTGTGACGGGTTAATCGATAAAACGCGATCGAACGATCTGATATACTAGAACGACTGCGACGATGACGCGTCGAAACATATAGAGCGACGACAGATACTACAACGACGAGGATGCCGTGATGCTACGACGACGGGAGGGAATCCAGGTCCCGCGGGCGACACGGCGCGAGCCGCGCCTTTTGGTAGCGCGCGGCGAGCGTCGACGGCACGACAAGCAAAGGCGGTGTCACCACGAGGTGCCGAAGGATCACGCTCGGGCGTTCGTGGACGCTGTCGTTAACGTCGTCGTCGTCCATGGGGAACCAGCAGTGGCCAAAGATCTCGGTCGGGCGCAAATGAATGTTCCACGCTTTCGAGGTGCCGACGACCGAGATCGACGGCCCGCCGCCGTAGTAGTGCTGAAACACCTTCCACACGTCCGGGTGGATGGTATGGTAGGCACCTAACGGCAAGTCGGGCTTCGGCAAGAGCTGGCCGCGGTGGAACGAGAGTAGCGAGTGGTTGGCGATCGCGCCTGGGTGGTCGCCACCCGCCGTCACATACGCCAGCCACCGACTGAGCCACGACGCCG